ACACGATACAGTCTTCTGAGCTACACACTGGGGTGAGAAAATGAACATAGCATGTCCCTGGGTTTTGCAGAATGCCAACAGTTATTAGTGTTATATGTACTGGGAATGCAGCTGTCAATCAAGAACAAGGCAGAATGAAAGCAGCAGCAGGGTCAGCTAAGCTCCCTGTAGGCATGCAGGAGTCATCATGAAGAAGGAAGACAACCTTCTTCTCCAGAACCTCTGTACTCAAGACCAACTAGCACAAGAATGGACCAAAGAAGCAGATGAAAAGACATACTTGCAAGTTCCCTCTAAGCCACTCAATCTGATTCCTCCAAAATACCTCTTTAGAAAATTCAGATTAATGTCTCAAAACATCATTTTCTCTGAATAATAAAATCAAGGAAAAACTTGGAAAGATGCAGAAATAGAAAAGAAAAAAGATCCAACATCTGATATACAGAAATAACAGTGAATAATATTCTAGTTTTAATGTGTAGATATGCTTTATTCATTTATAACTTTAAAACCAAGGTACACAGTCTTATAGCCTCTTTAAATGCTTCTTAGTGCTTTGCTTTGTTCTCAAATACCCTTTGGAAGAATGCCCGCTGTGCTGGATAGCTTCATTTGTCAACCTGACACACCTGAGAAGAGAGAACCTCAACTGAGGCATTACCTTTATCAGATCGGCCTACAGCCATGTCTGTGAGGCATTTTCTTAATGGCTAATTGATGTGGGAAGCCCCAAACCAATGTGGGTACTGCCATCCATGGGCAGGTATCCTGGGTTGTGTAAGAAAGCAGGTTGAGCACAGACCAGAGGAGCAGCTCTTGGTGGTCTGTGCCTTCATTCCTGCCTTCGGGTTTCTGCCTTGAATTCTTGCCATGGCTTCCCTTGATAAAAAACTGTGAGCAGTAAGCCGATTCCTCCCCAAGCTGTTTTGGTTAGAATGTTTTATTACAGCAACAGAAAGTAACTAGGACACCTGCTAACTAATATCTCCAATGTTCTGTCGCAGAGATGTACCTCATCATTTCAGCCAATTCTCTATAATTGAAATTTAGAATCATTTGGGGGTTTCATAATCATTAATAATGCTTAAGCACACAATACACACACACACACACACACACACACACTCTCATACACATCTCTGGTTGATTTGTTACAATAAATTCCTACAAATGTGAATCCAAGTTTCAAGTGCCCAATTATTCTACAGAAGGGCTGTACTAATTTCTATTCCAGACAGCAGTGCAAAGAAGTGTCTTTTTCTTACTGATATTGTGTGCTTTGTCTTTCCTGCCTTCTGCCTGTTAGAAGGTAAGAGAGGATGGTATCAAATTGTTTTAATGTGCAGGTAACTGTGAGGCTGTTTTTGTCCATATCTTAATGTATCTATCTATACATTTTTAATGCCCTAAGCTCTTCTCTCTCTTCTGAGTTAAAATTTACCTTCTGTAACTTTCCTCTTTGGCTACAAATTGTGTCTTCTGGAAATATCCTAAGTGAGACTAATTCCTCCTTCATATGACACCCCCTCAAATACTTGAAGACAGAAATCATGTCTCACTTTCTCCAAATGAAACACCCTGGCTCCTTCAATCATTCCTTATGTGGCAATTTCAAGGACCAGTGTTAAAGACTTCATGAAGAAGAAGGCCCTCAGCCCCCACACAAGCCGATACCAGCAGTCACAGGACACAAGCAGCACCAGCTACATTCCTCTGAATGAAGCCACAGACTTCCCCTTGGGCCACAACCTCCATTTTCCCCAATCCACAAGGATGCTGAGTGAGTTTGACCATGTTTGTTGCATTACTCATGTGAGATTATGGGCCTGGCACTCCAATAAAGGGTCAGGAAGACATTACATGGAGCCCAGAAAGAGGAAGAAGAATTTGGCTGATGTAGTGAGACTGCTCAACTTCAACAGCAACGAGGCGTCCCCTAGGCAGGGATCATGAGAGGCAGACTTTGTCAGTGCTGATTCAGCTCTGGTATGGGCTCCTTCCAGGGGGTCTCTCCTGACCCCAGTTGGCTTAGGGACTCTTCTATCACCAGGCTGACTGTCCTGAACATAGCTTCCCATCATCACCTATGCACACCTTGGTTTTCCCATCCATCCAAGCTCTTCCTGAAGGATGGGCCTGTGGACTGTAGCCCTGAGAACCTTGCTTAACAGTGGCCATAATGGGCCATCATACATGCTGGAGAACTGAGCCACAGTTGCCAGTCTCCCACCAATGGCCACGGCCACCTTGCTCTTATTTTTGCTTTATCAAACAACTTCTTAACACAAATACAGTTTCTCAAGCACTGCCTGATGCTCCCCTGGCCAGCAGATAGGAGCAGCCATGTTATTACAAGAAGCCCCATGTTGTTACTGGACTATACCTGGGTATAACTCAGCTGCTGGAAACTCGTATTCCTTGAGTCTTCCCAGTTCTGAAGCACTGTAGGATTATGAATGGATCTCCTATACTGAGGGCTGGATGCCTTCTGAGTCCCTGTCCTCCACGAGAACTCAGACCCTTAGCAAACAACATCCTGACAATTTTGTGAACTATGGATTCTATGGTTTAAAAGTGTCTCCTCAAAGTTCATGAGTTAGAAACTTAAAGCCCCAAATTTATATGTTGATTGTATTTGGAGATGAGACGGGGTCCTTAGGAAGCTGATGGTTAAGCAAGATCCTATAGTGACCCCATGTCATTCACATTGGTTCCTTTGTAAGAGAGGGACCACGTGACACGCTGTGCCTCATACCCCATGACACAGTAAGAAGACCCTCACAGATGCAGCCCCTTAGTCCTGAACTTTCCTTCAGAACTGTGAGAAATAAACTGCTTTCCTTTGTAAATTGTCCAGCCTGTGATATTTTATTGTAGCAAACTAACACAGACCAAGATAGTGGTTTCAGATTTCAGAGCTTTGAATTTCATACTTTTCTGAATCCATTATGCTGTTGTGTTCAGTGAGGTAGTGTGTCTCGGGCATTTCTATTTCTTTCTCTTTTTTTTTCCTTTTTTGGGTCTTTTTGTTGATTGCTTTTTGACAGGGTCTCCCTAGCCACAGCCCACCTGGAAGTCATGATATGAACCAGGCTCCATTCATCTTAGAAGAATCAGCTGTTTTCAAAACCCGTTTCAAAACCTCTCCAAATACCATGTCACAGAGATCCACCTGCCTCTGTCTCCTGAGGGCTGGGATTAAAGGTACATGCCATCACACCTAGCGTCTGTCTTGAGTATTTCTAATTATGTCTGACACAGTAAACATTCAAGTGTTAATTACTGTTATTATTATGATTAGGATGTACATCTAAGAACTGCAGTAAAGTGCTAATGATAATTTTGGCTATAGAAAACTTGTTCTTTGACAATCTTAAAGAGTATCTAGAATTTATCTTGCACCAAACCATCTATGAAAGATAGGCGGTCAGAGGCACAACCTGTGGGGCAACAACAAAACTTCACTCTCTATAAAGCAGGATCACTATAGAGCTCTGCGTGGGTCAGAGAGGGCTTGTCCTAGTTTGTTCTTCATTGCTGTGACAAAACACTCTGACCACTACCAACTTGGGGAGGAAAGGGTTTATTTATCTTACATCACCCTGGTCACAGTTCATCAGGGAGCCCAAGGTAGGAACTCAGGGCAGGAACCTGGAGGCAGGAGCTGGAGCACAGGCCATGGAGGAACACTGCTTACTGGCTTGCTCCCCTGGCCCCTGCTCAGCCTGCTTTCTTATGCAACACAGGCCCACCTGCCCAGGGGTGGCACCACCCACAGTGGGCCCTCCCACATCACTCAACAATCAAGAAAATGTCCCACAGACATGGCCACGGTCCCTCAACCCAGGTGTGTCAAGTTGACACTAAAGCTATCCAGCACAGGGCTCTTGCATCATTCCCTATAACAGAGATCCAGTTTATCATGAGCATAATCTATTGCCCACTACCCAGCAGAGACAATGCTGTAAGAAGTTCAAACCACTTTACAATTCTTTATTTTCATTTGCCTGCCAATGAGCAGCATATTACAAGATACTTCATTTATTATAATCACTAAGCTGGTATTGACATTGTTTAACTATATTGCCATCACAGGCTGTGTGTCCTTTTTCATTTGAATGCTTGCTTACTGGGATTATTATACACATAGTAATACTTCAGAGCTTTAGTAAATCATTGTATGGTTACATCACATTTTATTTATCTATTCATCATTTAGATTATATTCAAATTGTTTTTACCCACTGGCTGTTATGAATAAATATTTGTGTATAAATTTCCTCGTAGACTTAGTTCTTCAGTCCTTTTGGGGCAGATATCTAGAAGTAAAATTGTTAAGTCACAGAGTAATTTAACATTTTGAAACTGTTTTCCCAAGTGGCTATGCTATTTTACATTCCCACTAGCAAAGTGGGAAGGTTCCAATTGCTCCTCATCTTTACCAACACTTGTTATTACCTGTCTTTTATTTAGTCATTTTGGTGAGGATAAAAGTTATCTCATTGTGCTGGGTGTGGAGGCGCACGCCTTTAATCCCAGCACTTGGGAGGCAGAGGCAGGCGGGTCTCTGTGAAGTCAAGGCCAGTCTGGTCTACATAGTGAGTTCCAGGACAGCTGGGGCCATAGGGAGACCCTGTCTTGAAAAGATAAAAAAAAAAAAAAAGTTATCTCATTGTAATTTTGATTTGCATATTTCTGGGAATAGGGATACAGTAACTATCATTTCAAATCACTACACTGACTTTGCAGAGGGCAGAGGCACCAGGAGTGACTGCTAAGGCTCCACTCATCTTGGAAGAATCAGCTAGTTTCAAAACCTGTTTCAGGTAGCAGGACTTTTTCCAGTGACAAAGATGATATATTCTTATTACAAAGAAGATAAAATCACTTTCCTGCCTCTTTTCTGAGAATATTCTCAGAATATTCACTTAACACAATACCACGGTCCGATGTGAATGCCACCTGTCCCCTCTAGAAATACAGCTGGCAGCTCTGCTCACCTGCTGGTGGCCAGGCCTTGATGTAACCCGTGCAATGGACCACAGCATACTGGGCTTCTCCTTCTTTTACTGGGCCAAGGCCATTCCTAAAGAAAGGACACACATGAAGTCATCTTTATCACAGAGGGGTGAGACAAGATGCCTTTGGAACCTAAGCGACCTGTTACTTCGTTTCCTTTGTGATTTTAAATCTGAGTTCCCACCATCTTTATTTCCCTCCTCTCACATGGCTCAAAAGTCACAAACTCCACCTAACTCCAGTTCTCATCTTGATGCATGCCCCCTCAGTTGTCTGCTCATAGCCCATCGTCAAGTTAAGTACTCCTCAACATGGGGCCATCAAGCTGTCTACCCTACAGTCCCCATGTACACCCAAGAAAGAGATGCTCACCTGAACCTCTTCCTCATGGTGGTTATTCTGTTCAGAGGCAGGTGGTCCAAGGGAGCATTTCCACACCTAAGAGTTAACACACATTAGAACCAGTGAAGACACATCAAATTTATGAAATATACGGTATTGCTGAGACAGAGGAAGGGCACTCATTTCTCCCTGAAGCATTAGGCAGGTGCTAAGTACTGTTAAAAATCTGTCAAAATCATTGTTAGTGTTAATAAGGGATTTTTTTTCCTTTTGGTGTGTGTACATGTTAATGTTTGAGTGTGTGCAGGTGCATGTGTATATGGTGGGGTGCACTCATATGTATGTGTGTGTGTATGAATGTAGAGGCCAGAGGACAGCTTCAGTGTCATTTTTCAGGCACTGTCTACCTTTTCTATTTTTGGGAAACAGTGTCTCTCACTGCTTGGAGCTCATCAAGTAGACTAGACTGGCTGGCCAGCAAGCCCCAGGGATCCTCCTGTTTTTGCCTGCCCAGTGCTATGAATTCAAGTACATTCCACTACATCCAGTTTTTTGCATTAAGGGTTCTGGCACTCAAATTTAGGTCCTTGTGTTATTAAAGGAAGCACTTTACCAACTGAGCCATCTCCCCAATGATAATGATAAGTTCTTTAAGGTTGTATTTGTGAGCACTCTTTCTGATCTTTATTTTCCTATAAATAAGCAAACATGTTAGAGGATGGGGCGATTAAACTCTCTAATCCACAGCCATTGGACTTTGTCTTGCATCCTTGAGTGCCTTGAGCAAAATGACTGTTAGTCAAATAGTCAGCCAGACAACTCCCAGCACTGGCTGCTTTGACCACTCCATGGACACTTTTGGAAAACTACTCTTGAAGGTGCATAGCTTTAACCAGGGTCGTATGAAATAGTTCATACTATTTCAAACACACTATCCCAAGCCTTGGTGAACTCTAAATGACCCTGTAACTATTTCTACCTAAGGCAGAAGAGGAGCACTTTCCCTGGTGGCCTAGCAGGAAAGAGCTGTGACTGGAGCTACAGGAGCAAGCCTGTGACTGGTGCAAACATAAGCCTTCAACTGCATGTGAGATGTCCTAGCTTTAGCTATCTATTGCTGTGATAAAATACTGACCAAAACCAACTCAGGGAGGGAAGGGCTTTTTGGCTTACATGTCCCAATCACAGTTCATCCTTGAGGGAAGCCAGGGCAAGGACCTCAAAGCAGGGAACGGAAGCACAGGCCATGGAGAAATGCTGCTTATGGCTTGCTCCTCCGGCCTGTGCTCAGCCTGGTTTCTTATACAACCAGGACCACCTGGCCACCCACAGTGGTCTGGGCCCTCCTACATTATTTAACAACCAAGAAAATGCCTCACAGAGATGCCCACAGGCCAGTCTGATAGAGGAAATTCCCCAATTGAGGTCCCCTCTTCTCAGGTGTGACAAGTCGACAACTGAAGCTATCCAGCACGAGGTTTGCTATGATTGATGCAAATACTCCTTTGGCTATGTGGGGAAACTCCAGCTCACTCTGTGACATGGTTCGGAGATACTCTCCTGTGTGGCCTCCCCTGGTATTCCATCAGGCCCAGTACAAGGCTTTTCTGGAGTAGTCTTTCCTTGACTGCCTTTTAGTATTGCAGTCTGAGCTGGTACCACACATAAAAAAGAAGTAGCAGAGACATCAAAATAGCAGCAAAGCCAGAGGTGGGAGAACAGCTATGTCTGTAACAGAGCCACCGACAGGCTGTAAAAGTGGCAGAGAGGCTGGCTGCTTGGCAGCCAAAGGCTAGATGGCTGTAGAGTCAGAGAAGAGAAACTGTAGATCTTATGCCAGAAGAGTTCCAGAGCGTTAGCAAGCCTGTGGGGCCAAGGGTCTCAGCATCTCAGGCCTGGGAGCCATAACACTGGCTGCTACCAAAGGCTGAAAAGTTCTGAAATCTAGGCTACAGTCAAGAGCTGAGAAACCTCTACCTCTTAGGCCTGCACATGGGGCTAAAGTCCTGCTACCCAAAACCTGCACAAAAGCTGTAAACTCAAAGGTGCCACATTCTGCTGTCAAACACCAAGTGATACAAAATCTGATGAAGACTAGCATGTGCAGAACTCCTCCTTCACTTCCAATTTCTATCCAAGTAGAGCTAAAAGACGCTAGCCTTCTGATGAGTAACCATACTCTCAAGTAGATAGTACTTAACTGATACTGTATTTACTTAGGGGAGACCTATGGCCAATTTCCTTCCAAAGGGCAGGAGCAGGCTTGCCTATTTTTGACTTGTGATTGGCATCGGAGGAAGGAGAGTATGGCCATTTTTCACATGACAGAAAAGTTTCAGGGCTGTTCTTAGTCCTGGAGACCTACAGAAAGACTACAGGAGAAGCCTAACCATCCTTGGTCCCACAGATCATTTCAGTGGAACTGGTGACTTTTTGGAAACAAGGAAGAGAGTGATGAGAGCAGCAGTGTCTCTTCAAGCCGGAGTAGAGACATCAACTCGAAACAGATGTTGCCAGCAGATGAACAGTAGCATCTCCCGAGGCTTGAGCATCACATCTGTGGAGTCCCCCTCCCCCACCATGTCTGGCCCTAGGAATAACTACACAGCTGGAAGCCTGCCTGATGGCAGGGGAGAGAATGAGAACTAAGGACCAACAGGCACAGACTCAGGTCTGTCTGCAGACTCCTCTCTGGGACCAGGGGATGACCAGCCATACTTCCCGCTCTGGCAGGACCTCCCCAGCCCTTTTCTCAATGATCCTCTCAGGTGTTAAGCATCCAAGCCTGCACCATGGCCAAGCTTTAGCCATTGCTTGGCATTTCCATTTGCTAAGCTGATTTCTATTTCCCAACTACATGGCAAGTGTCAGCCTGGTTGTCTTCAATCACAACATGAAAAGCAAAGAATCTAATTATGCCCCAAGCCTTTGGACAGCTGCCAACACTGGTGAAGTTTCACAGCAGGATCAATCTATGACATCACTGCCAAGGGATGACAGTAGGGCCCTCTGCCCCTTTCTGTCAGGTTGCACCTGGTGTCTTGCTAAAATTAAGTTGCTTAGTTGGTGAGAAGGTCATGTCTAGGTAGACAGCAGTGCTGCCCACCTCTCAGGTCAGTCCAGGTAGTGTGGGTCCCAAACTTCAACAAGTAACTTGGAGTATGTCTTCTAGAAGCATGCTGAGGCAGGGAGGGATGTCATGAAACTGGGTGGGAGGGTTGCACCGTGGCACTATAGGTTTCCAATAGAAATGATGTACTGTCTGGATGAGTGGCTTTCATGGTGCCAAAAGGCAATATGCAGATGACTGGGGTCGGGGGGGGATCATCCCTTATAATTCTGCTCAACAATGTACTCTGAGTATTGCACTATCAACATACCAAACAAGATGTTCCTGCTGGTGCAATAGTGGAGCATCTAGTGTATGTACAACCAACAAATTTTCGATTGGATAAAATGCCCACTCCTAGGGTGGAACACATATCTAGTACTGTAGACCAGATCAACCCCTTATGGCAGAGGAGAATGTAGGCCCCTGTGGGAAGCCACTGCAATTGTTTTGTTAGATGGATGTGATGCACCTGCTAAAGTACCATCTAAGCCTTTGTGTTTATACCCCTAGGATAAGTTATTATAGCAGTCACTGTTTAGATATCCTTGCTTCTTGCTGTGTGTGTTTTCATAGTAGATGGAATCCCACTGAAATCGGCCAACAGCCCATGGAAAACTGATGATGTAGAGACCCGAAAATTCAGTGCCTTGCCATAATAGGAGTAAGATCCTCCCACACCTACCACCCCCTCCAGGGCTCAGGGACTTTTGCAGAAGAGGTTGGTGGAAAGACTATAAGAGATGGAGGAAGGGTGGAATGTTAACTGGAAGTACACCAACCACTATGCCGGCAAGTTATAGTCACACCTCCTTTCCATGCTCATCAAGGAGTCAAGGGGGGAGTCCATTACCTCTCCCACTCAATCAGCCGACCTTAGGTGCATGTGGGGGAGGGGCTAAGGATATATAAGTTGAGAATGCCAGAAGGCACCTCTCTCGCTATTTTGTGCGGCTTTCGGGAAATTAGAGGATCTATATTTGAGTGTGGACTTTCCAGTGTAGCCGTAAATGGGGGGCGCCCATTCCTCTGTAAATAAACCCCTATGCTCTGTTAAAAAAAAAAAGATAGGTGTTTGGATAGATAGATAGATGAGAAGGATCTGATTAAACCACAAGTGGATGGACTTGCACTGGGGAACATCTGGGGACACTGACTTGACACAGTGGGCCTTACATAGGACAGAGTATATGGGTTCCAGTTGTGGGGGGACAGTGGCTATGGGAGGGTTCTTATGGGGACAGGGCTATAAAGATGATTCAGATTATTTGAGATATTCTGTATGACATACAACAAATTTTAATAAAAACAAACTACAAAACAAAAAAAGAAAGAAATGATGTGCTGTGATGCCTCAAGCAGTTCATTCACACAGAATTTCTGGAAGGGTACAATTAAGAATTTATATTACTGGGGCTTACTGACTGCCCCAGGCTAAAATGGGAGGACTGTGCTATGACTGACTACATTAGCTGATGGCTTGTTGTCCCTGACTGGATGCTGAGCACATGAATCCTGTGGCCAGCTCACCCCACCACATGAAGCAGGCAGCCCCCATCTGTGGTGGTTTGAATGAGAATGTCCCCATATACACCAAGTATTTGAACTTGGTCAGTTGGTGGTGCTGTTGGGCAGGGTCATGGAACCTTCAGGAGGTGTGGTCTTGCTGGAGGAAGTATGTCACTGAGGGTGGGCTTTGAGAGTTCCTAGCCCTGTTAGATCTCCAGTTGTTCTCTTCCTTCCTGTGTGATGATGTGAGAACTTAGCTTCTGCTGCTCCTGCTCCTGCACCTCCAGCCACAATGCCTCCCTGCCATGACAGACAGTAATTGCTCTTGAGCCATAAGCTCAAATAAACTCTTCCTTCTATAAATTGCTTTGGTCAGTGTTTCTATCACAGCAACAGAAAAGTAACTAATACAGTAATTGGTACCAGAGAGTGGGCTGTTGGTTGTGAAGAACCTGACCATATGGGGTTTTGAAGAAATGTGGAAGACTTTGGAAGTTTGGGCAAGAAAAGTGGTTGCTTGCTGTAAACAGAGCTTAACAGGCCATTCTAGTAAACACCTGGAAGAAAGTAGTGCTGAGAACAATGTAGTTCCAGAGGGAAATAAGGACTTAAGCAGCACTTGGGATATTTTGGCAAAGAGTCTGGCTGGAGTCTGCCCTGGACCTAAAAGCTTGCCTGAGGCTAAGCTGAAAAGCAATGGACTAATTTCTCTGGTGGAAGAAATTTCAAGAAAGCCTAATGTAGAAATGGTGGTGTGGATATTAATGGTGACTATTATGCAGATCTACAGTGAAAAAGAGCAAATGGGGCAGAAAGAAATACAGTTTGGACTGAAAAAGAGCACCAGGAAGATAAATGTTGGAGCTTTGGCATGTGCTGGAGAAAATCCCTTTGATACGGAGATTAAAGTGATTAAGGAGGGGCCCAGAGATTGGATTTAAAGAGTGGAGAGTGCCTCCAGGGCAAGACCACACCCAGTTAAGTCTCCAACTCATGAAAGGAAAATGCTGCAGGGGCCAAAGAAGAGAAAAGCTTCTAAAATGGATAAAGCAGGCTGGAGTCCATCCAAAACTTGCAGTGAAATTTGGCAGTGTTGTTCACCTGGTGCTGGCTTTAGAGGCATGAAAGATACAAGAGTGAAGCGGTCATCAATTCTTCCTCCACAGTTTCAGAGAGCCTCAGAGGCCAGGCAGCATGCAGCAGGGGTCTCTCTGCCTAGAGAAGGCCCTGATAGGCCATTGTGTGAAGCTGTGAAGGTGAAGCCTGGTTGGCAATGGAGACCCCAAGAAGACATCTGTGATGCCAGAGCTGTGAGGCATCTGCCAAGAAGACCTGCATACAGGGAGTGGTACCAGCACAAGAGAGGGATGTGTGTTGCACGCAGCAAAGCTAGAGAGGCTGAGCCATCTAAGCCCTTTGGAAGTAAAGTCCCCAGAATTTGGATACAGAGCCACTGGATTTGGTGTTTGCCCTGCTGGTTTTTGGTCTTGTTTTGGTCTGTTATTTCCTTACTAATTGTGCTGGATAGCTTTAGTGTCAACTTGACACACCTGGGTTGAGGGAGCCTCAATTGGGGAATTTTCTCTATTGGACTGGCCTGTGGCCATGTCTGAGGGGCATCTTCTTGATGAGTGATGTGGGAGGGCCCAGCCTACTGTGGGTGGTGCCACCCCTGGGCAGGTGGGCCTGTGTTGCATAAGAAAGCAGGCTGAGCAGGGGCCAGGGGAGCAAGCCAGTAAGCAGCATTCCTCCTTGGCCTGTGCTCCAGCTCCTGCTTCCAGGTTCCTGCCCTGAGTTCCTACCTTGGGCTCCCTGATGAACTGCGACCTGGGAGATGTAAGACAAATAAACCCTTTCCTCCCCAAGTTGGTATTGGTCAGAGTATTTTGTCACAGCAATGAAGAACAAACTAAGACACTAATGCCTCCATTCCTCTCTTTTGGAATGGTAATGTGTATTTGGTTCCACTGTATGTTGGGAGTATGTAATTTGTCTTTTGATTTTATACAGGCTTACAGTTAAGACATTTCCCCGAGTCTCAGCAGAGACTTTGGACTGTGGACTTCTGAATAGTATTGAGACTGATAATGACTATGGGGACTTTT